TAATAATACATTAATTGTAGAATATATTCGACACACATTATATATATATATTCATTTTTCTATGTTTTCCGTATCATAGTACGTCATAAATGCATAAAATTCGCAGTCTAGCGTAACTGAAAAACAACACGAAGAGAGTTTCGAATTTTCTCGTCAGCGGAAGTTTCATTTCACTAATTCGTCTTGAAATTTTGCTTTCAGATAGCGAAAAATGTCTACTGCTGGACCAGAAATGGTCACCGGATCGGTGGCGGCCGTCTCTGCATCCGGATTCTCAGCGACCACGGTCTTCTTAACTCTCCTCGTCCCTGCCCTCGTACTCTACTACATCTACTTCAGGATCTCTAGACGTCACATGCTCGAGCTGGCCGAAAAACTGCCAGGTCCTCCTGGTCTACCCATTCTTGGAAACGCTCTCGAGTTCCTCGGCAGTTCTGACAGTGAGTAACCGATAATTTAACACTTTATTTACCGGGAGCCTATTTATAGGCTTTTTCATTCCAGTATTTAGCTTTTTGAATTTATTTACTGTGTTGATGGTTGTCTACTTACAATGTTCGATGTTTGGAAGCAGACTTGGCTTTCAATGTACCCAGTAACAGTACGGAGGAATTATTGTCAGCCTAGATTGGCATATGCTACTGTAGAAAATTCTTTTTATATTAAAGACTGTTTCTAAATAGCCCGGTAGATAAAATGTTAAAATAGCCAGACCTAAGCAGGTTCGATGATGTACGAGATTTTATCGCGAAGAAAGGGTTCCAATTTTGTTTATAAATGCCCGGTAAACGAACTTCGAAGCGATGCAGTCTGACCCGGTTTGGACGACGAACGGAAATTAATCTATCGTTTTCTCGCGGACAGCGATCTTCCAGAACTTCTTCAGGAGATCCTTCGAGTACAACGAGGTGATCAGGATGTGGATCGGGCCGAAGCTCATAGTCTTCTTGGTCGATCCGCGAGACGCTGAGGTGATTCTCTCTAGTCACGTGTACATCGATAAATCCGCCGAGTACAGATTCTTCCAACCATGGCTTGGAAACGGTCTCCTCATCTCCACTGGTAAGTGTTTACCATCGTCGATTGCTCGCTGTTAACCAGGGTTCTCCAAAATGGAGGACGTGGCACCTGCTCGCTGTGAAAATTAATATCTATAAAATTCATAAATTTATACATTCGTAAATGTACAGTATGCCACAATAATTTAATAATTTATCAGTGTGTATATACTAGCCCTTTGCACTCGAGAGATAACTCTCTGTCGCTACTAGGTTCGACGCAGTAAACCAACCAGTAATAATGTTTGTTTAGGTTTCATTTCTTTGGAACTCGAAGTGTCAATAAAATGATTGTCGTTGAGGTAAAGGTGACCTGATTCTCAAATCTCAAATTAGAGATCACATCCTCGAAGTGAATCTAAGCTTAGCAATCGTGGCAATAGAATGCTAAGAAAGCATCTCGAGTTGCTGATAGGTACCGGAAAAAATGGCCTCGAGTGCAAAGAGCTCGAATGCTTCAATGTCGAAATGTCTACATCTCTGGAAACTTCGAAGTCTTCTAACGCTACCCTCATCCTAATTTCGAGCGTAATTAAAGATAGTGCGTATTTAACCCAGGAGCAGAATAGAACGACGCGGTAGGGTTTCAGGGAAAGAACCGTAAACGCTGGTTTAAGTACGTTGTACGCTGTTATCGTAACTTTCTAGTTGTGCCGTGATAGCCTTTTTTCTTCTGACGAAACTCTCTATAGATCATGCGTGCACGTAACAGAAGAGTACACGTAACGTTCCTTGCGTTTAGTCTCGGCCAGCACGTGTCCGTTGCATTGGCGCGAAGCTCATTCGTCAACCCTCGTAAAAGTATCTAAATCTAAACGAAAATAGCCTGGCTCGAAGATCGTCAAAATATCTTTAAAGACAATTAACGTAGAGGGAAGAAAATGGTAACGTAGATTTATGTCGCATAGGATCGTCTTTGATGAAAAGAAATGGACACTGTCGTCGCATAGGAGTTTCGATAATTTCTAATTGCAATCGAGTCTCCCGGTTTCTTCGAGCACCGAGGCGAAAGGCTGGCGAAAGTTTCGCGCGAGAAATGCACGAACGCCTTGGACTATTAATCGCGGGGGATCGTAAACTAATCGTTGGACGTAACGCGAGGGAAAAGAGCAATTAAACCCGCGTAACTTTGTCGCGAATCCTCCTTAATAGGAGGAAAGTGGATTACGTATACTCTTTAGATGTAATTCATACGTAACGCGTGTGTAACTAGAGATCTATTGATGTAGACGATCGATGGGCCCGTTTAAGATAGAGCCGGGACAGAGTTGGACGTTTCATGAGTAGGCGAACTATTCAACGACAGCTTTCAAGCTTTTCAAATTTGCAACAGGTGACCCCCGTTGCGTTTTGATTTAAACTGAAAAAATTCGCGGGAAAATATCGTATGTTTCAAAAGGGTGAAAGTTACAAAATAAAAAATAAAACTGGGATGGTGAAATAAATCGATAAATAAATTTTAATCAAACGACAATCGAGTAAAGTTTTGTTAAATTCCTCCGTTAAATAAATCTGTGGAACAACCACCTCCATTGAAAATGTTTCAGCTGCGCGCATCGCTGTACTGGTGCGCAGAGAGGAGATACGTCGGTGAAATGTTTCGAGTCAGGTACGAGATAGTATCGAATAAACGTATACTAAAAATTTCAATATTTTTTGCCATCTTTTACTTGTGCAAATAATTACCGATATGTAATAATTACCGATTACGAAGTAATTACCGATGTCTAAGCAATCGACCGCCTCTGGCGTTACCGAGGGCAAAAAAAAAAGGGAAAGCTTTCGAACGACTCGAATTGGACGCCGAGATGCGTGGATAAACAATCAATTTTAAGAGACGTCGTTTCGATTGCTCGGTTAAGATAGTACCGAGATCTCAACGAGCACTCGCTTATATACATATAGAAGAAATATGAAGATGTGGATCATCCACAGCTATAAATAGACGTGGCTCATAGCGTGACGTTTTTGATAAAACACTTTCGTGTTAAAAGTGTCATTGAAACGAGCCATCGATAGGTTCAGCGTTGATATTAAAGAATCGATCGCACGAAAGGCAACGTAAACGCGAATAGGAGGCTTAAGTCGTAAGAAATACATAGTTCCACGCGCGATACTAACGTTCCTACGGCAATGCAATTCGAGCGAAATGGAGCCTATTCAAGGGAGACGGAGCAGGAAGGAGACTCGTTGAGAATGCTTTCATCTTGGTCTTGTTGGTCTCTTTGTGCCATAACCCAGTGACAGTCGTTACTCAATCGACGATTCCCCATTTTCTTCGCGACACGCTTTTCCTCGCAGGAAGCGTGTTTTCTCCTCGAGGCTGTTTGCTCGCAAACGCGGTGTATCGATCGTCGTGAGTCTTTTTTTTTTTCTTTTTTTTTTTTTTTTTAAACTTTCTCCTTTAACGTGCGGGCTTCTCCTCCCTAGCTTCCCTAGAGCTGTTACAGCATCGGCGCAGGCAAATTGCATTGTGTTTGCGTTTCGGTATTATTCCTCGTCGAGGATAAGATTCGTCTTTGATTACGATAGTTCGTTCTCCTGCGATTCTCGAGCATGAATTAACCCTTTGCGCTCGAGTGGCGCCCCCGGGGCGACATATATAATTTAAAAGTGATTTTTTGAACGTACAATTTCAATTTTACTTATATCGGAACACGGTTAATTATTAATTGAAATAACACATGAATGTTCGTAGATGTCTTTGATTTTACAGAAATTTATTATATAAGAATGGACTGGATTTGATTCTGTAGAAATATGCTTCGAGCGCAAAGGGTTAGGCGGGAGGGCGATGAGGGAGGCGGAGGGGGGGGGGAGCTTGGTTCAGGACGGTAAAAATGAGGAATCTTCTTACGAATTTTTTAAAAAGGGTCTTTCGTTGAATATCTGATGACACAAATAATTTTGTTCAACGCTACATCGCACTTAACTTTTTTTTTTTTTCGAATCGACAAATAGTCGATTACAATATGTGACAAAAGCTTCAATTACAAAATGATACATTAATTTGTTAATCATTGTAATAGTGCGCAGGATTAGTAAACTAAAATTAAATTATGATTTAAATATTAAGCTTACAACTTTTCAAGAGAGAGGATACGTACAGCTCGCACTTAACACGGTTGGTAAGCATGAATCGAGCATGAATTTTCGTGTCACAAAATAGGGTACAGTGACAAGGTTAATGAAGGTGTTTATAGAAAATAAACAACTTGTACAAATTCTTGTATAATACACTCTTCTCTCGCGCTGAAGTCTCCGTTGAATTCCAGGTCAGAAATGGCGTGCTCACCGCAAACTGATAGCCCCGACCTTCCACTTGAACGTGCTGAAGAGCTTCATAGACCTGTTCAACGCCAACTCCCGCGCTGTCGTGGAGAAGATGCGCAAAGAGGGCACAAAGGAGTTTGATTGCCATAATTACATGTCGGAACTCACCGTCGAGATCCTCCTGGAGACCGCCATGGGCGTTTCAAAGTCCACCCAAGGTCGCAGCGGGTTCGAATACGCCATGGCTGTGATGAAGTACGTTTACTTCCGTTATCAGAACCTTAACGCGTTAGCAGGGGACCTGAAGACTCGGTTTAAATTTGAATTCAACAATTCATACCGAATTTCTTCTCCCAATTAGTAAGTCGCGGTCTCTCGTATAAATCGTTGGTCATGGTTACTAGATAGGTTACATTTTCGCCCAATACCGATCCATCTCGATTCAGGTGCACGCTTTCTTCCTCTCGAAGTCCGGAGAAAGTTCGCCAATGTTCCACAGCGAGATGGCTGTAGTTAGCGTTGCATAAGAAGTAGATAACCGAAGCATTCCTATAAATCGTGAAGGAAACGACGGAAACTTTCCAACGAATGAAACATAGCGCGTGTATAGTTTCCAGTCATAAGCTCGGTCATCATCTGATAATAAAGAGACTTTCCAATACAGGGGAGAACTAAACATATTTTTCGAGATACTGTAAACCAGTAAGGATTTCCTCGAGGATTTATTAACGCTCTAGGTTCATGGAGGTTCGGAGAACCCTCGCTCTATTGCTTGTTTATTTTTCTTTAAATTTACTTCTTAGTAAATTTTCTTTTATAATATTTCTGTAAATACTTCTATAAATTTACTTCTTGCTACTGAACGTGGATAAAAGTCAGCGTGGGTGGCAAAAGAACGAAATGGTTTCTGTTTTATTTACTTTTATTGTAACATTCAGGATACGTCAACATGTAATTGTAAACCTGACGATAAACAGAATCCAGAGGATATCCGTTCGAACGGTAATAATATTACAAATGAATTATTGCAGAATGTGCGACATCCTCCATCTGCGTCACACGAAAGTGTGGCTCAGGCCAGACTGGCTCTTCAATCTGTCCAAGTACAGCAAGGATCAGATGAAGCTGCTGGAGATCATTCACGGATTGACCAAGAAGGTCATCCAACGCAAGAAGGAGGAGTACAAGAGCGGAAAACGTAACCTTATCGACACCAGCGCGCAGAAGGCCGATGCCAAGGTTGGTACAGCAACTTTATAACGATTAATGCTATCTTTTAGGTAACAAGTACTATATTTGATTGTAACTTGCAGACTAACAACACCTCAGTGGATGGCATTTCCTTTGGCCAGTCGGTGGGTCTCAAGGACGATCTCGACGTCGAGGATGACGTTGGCGAGAAGAAACGTCAGGCCTTCCTCGACCTCCTGATCGAGGCTGGACAGGAAGGTGTCGTGCTCAACGACCAGGAAGTTAAGGACCAAGTAGACACCATCATGTTCGAGGTAAGATTTTAATAAATTTGTTTCATTAATGTATTTACAAATTGATGTATTACAATGTTATCCGATAGGGCCACGATACAACAGCATCTGGATCTAGTTTCTTCCTCTCCATGATGGGCTGCCACCCTGAAATTCAAGAGAAAGTGATCCAAGAGCTCGACGAGATCTTTGGCGACAGCGACAGGCCCGCCACTTTCCAGGATACCTTGCAAATGAAGTACCTCGAGCGTTGCCTCCTGGAAACGCTTCGCATGTACCCACCTGTGCCCATCATTGCTCGTGAAATTAAAACGGACTTGAAGTTGGGTGAGTAAACAATTTAAAAGTAAATCTTGGTTACAGAATAAAGCTTGTACCAAAGACGATACTTCTTTCGTGTTTCAGCGTCAGGAGACTATACAGTTCCAGCAGGGTGCACAGTCGTGATCGCTACTTTCAAGATCCACCGACAGCCACACATCTATCCTAACCCTGACAAATTCGACCCTGACAACTTCCTGCCTGAGAAAACAGCAAATCGTCATTACTACGCGTTCGTGCCCTTCTCGGCTGGGCCACGATCCTGTGTAGGACGAAAATACGCCATGTTGAAACTGAAGATCGTTCTGTCCACCATTCTGAGGAACTTCCGTGTCATTTCGGACATCAAGGAACCAGACTTCAGGCTGCAAGCCGACATCATCCTCAAGAGAGCCGAGGGATTCAAGATCAGGCTCGAGCCAAGGAAAGTGGTAGCTGCCACCGCCTAAACGAGACTTGGAGAGATTTTGTAAAAAATTATTATGAAATTAAAGAAAAAACGAAACAAGGTGTAGCGGGTTTTCAATGCTCCCGCACGCGCGATGGTGCGCACGCGTGGGTAACCTTCTTTGCGTGTGTAAATGTTGTAAGTATATTGCCGAAGGTTGTGTACCGTGGATAGTTATATTTACTTATATTATGTTGATATTTATCTTGTGCAATAAATTATGCAGCCAGTGCGCTGCGAAATCTGAATAAACGCAGTTGTGTCGTTTCATTGTTCGCACCGGACGACTCTTGAAAACTCCTGACGACACCTGACACATATTTCCTTTTAATTTCCCCTATTTCCTGCAAACTCCTGACAACTCCTGACACCTCCTAACATCCCTCCAACAATATCACCTAACACCTCCATACATCCCCTAATACTCCCTAACACATTCTATCATCTCCTAACATCCTCTAATACTTCCTAACA